AATTAGATACGAATCATGCTTTTCCTGTACACATGAGACACAGGCATGAAGTAAGAGCAGGCTAGATCCAGGTTGGGAGTGTCTCATTTCCTTGTACCTCCCAAGAGCAGTCCCGGGGAACATGAGGGGCTAAACCCAGAGGACGAGGAGGGAGAGGGAACTGGGGTATCCGAAGAAAGCAGTCACTTAGAATCACTTGTTGTGACTGTACTGTGCTTCTTGGCATAAGACAGTGCAGAGGCCCAGGTACCAATCATGTTATAAAGGACCGGAGTGACACTTGGGCCACTAGAAAGCCCGGATTTGCAAGGTGTGCCACAGACACTGGGAAGCTGGCACCCCCACACACCTGGTACCACACCTGCTCACTTCTCACCTGCCACTCACGTGCTTCCCAGGGTCAGTTCACAGCCCAGATCTCAGCATTGGGAGGCAGTGCCTGCTCTAGGTAGTGAAAGAGTTTTCTGCCCATCTTTTCAGTGGAAGTGAGTAATGGAGCCGGGGGGCGGGGGGGTTGGCAGTGTTCCCACGAGTTCTCAGGCCAAAGTGGATGTGCTCTGTTGCCCAGCTCTTTACCCTAGCTGTCACTTAATGAATTCCCTGTTGTGCCTGAAGTAGGTCCTAGTCCCCTCCTGTCACCACCCCACTGGCACCGCCTTGCCTGGATGGCACTCGTGCGTTCAGATCTCCAGTGAGGCTGACATTTTACTTTACTTTATAATTCATTCATTTTCCAGTGCTGGAGACCGAAGCTAGGACCACTCACGTTAGGCATTTGCTCTGCCACGGAATATATCGCCAGCCCTCTTTTTACCTTCGATTTTGAACTTGTCATGCCTTTGCCTCTGCATTCCAAGTAGCTGAAATTACAGGCCCGCACCCCCACGCCTGGCCTCCACCCCCCCGACCTGGCCCGCACCCCCAGGCCTGGCCCGCACCCCCAGGCCTGGTGTGCACCCCAAGACCTGGTTAAGCCTCATCTTTTAGTTTTTCCAACCTGGGACTCAACCTGAATCTGTCCTTCCTTCACTCATGACTCCATACATGCCTCTCCACCAGCCCAAACCTTGGTTCTTTCTCCTCCAAGCATGGACTACAGAGTTCAATGAGGCCCATCCTGCACACACCTGCAGCCACCAGCAGCCTTCCGCCTGTAGGCGCTCACTGTCCCGTCCTGGGAAATTGGAAGTACAGGGGACATCTGGAAAGGCACAGATCAAGCAAGCCTCAACATCCGGTTTCCCTGTCCTCGGATGTTTGCCCTGCCATGTGCGGTTGCAGCATCTCTCGGTCCACCTGCCACTTGAGGAACTGAAGCCTGAGGTCCTCAGCATTGTCCTGCTTATTCTCACGTGTTCTTCCTTGCCCCATCCCTGTCTCTGCCCCCTTTTCCCACAACACTTCCAGGGCCGCAAACCATCTTCACCACTTGTCCTGGGATCCTTATCCCAGTGTCTACTTTGGGGGTCACAAGGAGAGGGTAAAGCATGTATCTGCTACACACTGAGCCGTCAGCAAATGAATGAGCATGGTAGAGAGAAGACACATGTGGACACACGTGTGTATTTATGCATGCATTCTCCCACTGCTATAACAACATAGACACACGATGAATGTAGAACCCTACATACCATAGTTTGAAAGCTGGAAGCTGAAGTCAGTGCCTCCATCATCCAAGATGGCCTTGTTTCTGCCTCCTCCTAAGGGGACCAGCACTGTGTCTTCACATGTCAGGAGGCAGACCACAAAAGGGTCTAAATCAGTTGCCTCAGCCCACGTGGGGCTGTTGGTCCTGTGGGTGAGGGCTCTGCCCTCCTAACTTAATCCCCGTCTCAGGCCTCACTTAGAAACACCGTCATATTGGGGTGATCTGCAGTGTACCAATTGTGAAGATATATATACATTCAAACTGTAGCAGTGTGTGTGTGTGTGTGTGTGTGCAAACATGGGTGCTAAAGTGTGCATATCCACACTCATGTATGTGTCTTCATGGATATGTACAGCTGTGTGTACACTGCATGAATGCCAAGTCTGTGCTATACATGTGTATGTGGTGTGGTGCAGAGGTAGATGAGAACATGTGATACGTCTATAAGCATGCACATCCTTACACACGCAGACCTCACATGTGTGAGGCAGATGTATCTGTAAATATTGGTATATAGATCTACATGATCATATATATACATGAGTTTACTTGCAGTGCTGGGGTGGAACCCAAGGCCTTATACATGCTAGGAAAGTAAGTGCTTTATCATTGAGCAATAGTTCCAGTCTTGTATCTGTGTATATATATTCATGTGTATGCATATGCAAAATCAGTGTGTACCTGTACACACATCTATGTGTATATATGTGTTATTTATACACGCAGGTATGTGTGTATACATATGTATATGCATGTGTACATATGTGTAGATACACGTGTGTATCTTAATGTATATGCTCATGACCATGTCTATGTGTTTATATGTGTGAACATGTGTGTGTGTCTGTGTGTGCCTATGTGTGTATGCGCTAATGGCGTAAAGGAGTTATGCAAGCAGGAAAACAGTGTCTATGGCAATCCTTGTTTGGACACTTGATCCCTGTCCACTGGCATGTCCAGCCTTCTGTCCTGCCTTCCCCTGACCTCCCTTTCTTCATGCCTCCCCACTTCCACCCAAAAAGAGACCTCAGACAGAAACTGACAACAGCTGCTGAGCTCCAAGGCAAGAAATGGGGCCACTGGAAGGAAGTGAAATCCCCACCCACTTAACAGCTTAATGAGGACTTGAACCTGGGCCCAGGAGGAATTGTCAGTGCGACCGTTTGCTGGGATGTGGAGAACAAGTCTGGGCTTTCAAGCCTGCCCCAGGGAGGAGCCAGGACAAGCTGGAGGCAGAGCAGATGGAGATGCTTGCAACCCGTCTGCCCCCAGCTTCCCTGGGGACTCCAGAGTCAGACATGCAACTTCACAAGGGCCAGGCAAGCAGCATGGAGTCCTGTGTGATGTAAATGCTCCCAGCTTCCCTCGGGAATGCTATCCACCTGCCTGTGAAAGGCCACTGAAGAGGAGGTCCTCAGGGCTCAGGAGCCAAACCCACAGTGACCTGTTCTGACTACGTAGCCCAGAAGCACGAGCCACGTGAAATGGCGCTGACTTTTGATGATTTCCCATTCTCTCCAGACAGGATTCTCCTACCTGACCTGCCTACGGGTGAGCCTGGCACTCACTCCCCTTGATCCTTCTAGGTTAGATTTTCTAGCCATTTGCCTGTCCTCTACTCTAGTTCATCAATGTGAGAAGCTCCAGCTCTCCCAGTGTGAGCCCAGGCCCTCTGTCTGCCTGTGATCTTTCTGCAGCTCCTTCAGGACCCAGGCCTCAGCCTTCCTTGCTCCCACACTTTCTCCCCTACAAGCTCCCCCATATTTGTTTTCTTGCACCAGGTGCCTGTCCGGTCTACTTTGTCTTGCTTAGCTGCCTGTTGGCTGTTTTCTTTCTCTCTGGTTGTAATGTGAGCCCCAGGAATGCTCATGCTGTGTCCTTTAGAGGAGAACAGGGTGCCCAGTAGCTGGCTGCTTATTGGCACCTGGATTCAGGAACGCTCCACTAGATAGGCCCGTGCTGCCCCCACCCCATCCCTGGCCATGAGGCATGAACAAAACACATGTCTGCATTCAGATCCAGAGAGGGCGCTCTAGTCTTCTGCAGAGCCACGGCAGACATGGGCATCAGTGCCAGCTGAGGACACACCTCGTAGTGAGTCCTCGAGACCAGAGCCCTGGTTGGCTCTGAGTAGGCTGAGCGTCCTTCCTGGATGAATGATAACCCTTACATGGGAGGTCCCCATACAACTGTCCTCACTTGATTTCTGTTTCTGGGATATGTCTGCGTGGGACTGTTAGAAAATGGCTCAGTGGCTCAGTAGTTAAGAGCACTGGCTGCTCTTCCAGGGCACTTGGGTTTAATCCCCAACACCCACTATTTATACTCAGATCCCAGGAAACCCAGCTCCGTCTTGTGGCTTCCACAGCACCAGGCAAACATATGACACACAGATCCATGCAGGCAAAGCACCCATGTACATAAAACAAGTAAATCTTTCATAAAAGCAGCCTGGGGGGAATGCTCATTTTAACTCACAATTCTGTGCTTACATTCCATCGTGGGGAAGCCAAGGCAGAAGCTTGACGCGGCTGGCCACATCGCATCCACAGCCATAGTCAGAGAGGCATAAAGGGGCGCTCACTAGTGTTCCTGCTTTCCCTGCTCCTAGCCCTCGGAGCCTCTGCCTGGAACATGGTGCTGCCCGCACTGGGTGGCTCTCCCACATCGATTAATATACTCAAGAGAGTCCCTCATAGACACGCCCAGAAGCCAACCTGGTCTCTTCTTCATTTGGGACCCTCTTCCCGGGTGACTCTAGGATGTATCAGGTTGACTAAACTAAGGATCAGAAAACCTCCCAACAGACATTTCTTCTACCAGCTGGGCAGGGCCGGCTCCGTTCCTGGCTTGCTTCTGCCATCTGCTGGTCACTGATTGAATTGCACCGGAGAAGTGTGCTTCTTAACTGTTCCTTAAGTGGGCCTGGGGAGCCAGGGCCCACATTCAGGTGTTCATCATTCTCTCTATTTACCACAGGGTCAGCCTAGCTGACTCGTCCATCAAGACAGCCAAATGGAACAGGCTCTGAACTCTCCATTTATAACTTGGCCCAAAGTCTTAAGATTCCCCCTCCCCATACACCCCGTACTTTATATCAATTTACTGGAATCAGTATTAGTCTGTGAGTCTGAATGATACTCAGACACAGAAAGCTTGAATACAGTTTGCAAAGCCACACAGCTCCAGAGTGATGCAGCTGACCCTGGAGCTTCAGCTTTGGGGAATTGAGGGCACAAATTTACCCATAACTCTCAACAGGTATGGGGCCCCACTCACCCTAAGGCGGAGAGGCCACCTTGGCAGCTCATCTCCCAGGACTGGAAACCCCTCTGCTATTTAGAGATCTCACCTTTAGTTTACAGGAGGTTGGAGCATGGGTCTCCTGAGCCCTCTGTGGGCAGTGTGGCAGGAGTAGACAGGGCTAACGTGGAGATCGTGTGCCCCTGGGCCCTCTGACTGAGCCATATCTCTAAGCCTCAACTTCCCTTCTCACATGTGCTACTGAGGGCAAATGTCTACACTTTCTGATACAAATGTCTGTCACTATCTTATTAAAGTCCTGCCAGAGACAGAACCACTTCCTTCCCCTTCTCGCCCTTCCCAACCCCACGGCTGGAGAGCCACCTCGGACCTCACAGCTTCTGGAAATTGCAGGACTGTCACCAGCCAGGCTTCCTAGAGATGCAGCCTCAGACCCAGGGAGAGCGTGGTCCAGCTAGATCCCAAGGCGCCCTGCCTCTGCGCGCTTGGCTCTTTGCTACTGATCCCACACATCCGTGGTTCTGGCTTTGAGGTGCTCGGGCCTAGGATGAGCACTTCCCATCTGGATTCCCGCCAGCCTCACAGGCCACAAGCAATTAGTCGAAGGCAGAGAAGAGTGTTTTTAATAATTCTGTCATTATCCTTCATTTTCAGCACCAGCAGACACGAAAACTTCATTTCCCGTTTCTTTAAAGGTATTGAATGGCTTCTGCACCTCGCTGCGATGCCGCTGTCTCTGCGATGCCGCTGTGGCTGCGATGCCGCTATCAGTCCAGCTGCTGCAGAGCAGTCTCATGCACCCAGGGCCTGAAGAGACCTGAGCCTCCACCCGCACAGGAAGGCCTTTCTCCCCGTGTGTCATTCTCGGATCACTGAGGATTCCAAGCTGACATGGGGTGCTGGGTGCTAAGGTCCACTTGCATTTCATAAGACACAACATGCAGCAATGTTGTGCGGCTCACGGTTGGGCCACGGTTGGGCCACTGTGAACAGAAGCCGCGGCTTCCTGCTAGGGCAGCCTGGCGGTGAGGAAAGCAGCTGCCAGCCTTACTGGCCACAGAGTGATAGGGAGGAAGTGAGTCGTGGAGGGACAGGGCTGGCGGAGACCTTCAGCATAGAGCCAGCTCCGCAGGCAGGAGGAGACTGTAAGGTTCAAGGCAGGAAAGCCATTGCGAAGCCAGGATTTTGCAGGGTCCACAGATGGGATGTGGAGACATTGCCTTCTAAAAGCAATAATCTAACAGCAGCAGTAAGCAGCTCAGTGTGATCCACCCAGTGCAAAACCCAAGCATGGCTGAGGCACACCCTTCAAGTATCATTCTGGCCCTATAAATGAGAAGTGCAGGACACAGAGAAGCTAGGCAACTTGCTCAAAGCCACACAGCAAGGAAATAACTCTGAGGTTAGAGTCAGGAACAGGACAAACAGGTGCCTGCTTTTGGGCGGCTCTGAACACAGAAGTTAAAGGTAAGCCTGGGCTGTACCATGTGACCAGGGCTGTGACCCAGGAGCAGCGGCCTTGAAGATGTGGAGTGATCATGTCCTGTTGGCCACATAACCTGCCAAACTCTGGAGGGTCAAACAGACGCACATAGCTTTTACATAACATTAGACATGATTCCCGGGGTTCATGCCCAGGTCTGTCAGCTGCCTCAGCAGCTGCTTGTAGCAGAGTGGAAGACCCCAAGTGCACACAGAGCCCAAAACCCATATTCTACACTTGATTCACAGTGTTGCATTAAACCGAGAGTCTCTTGCATACTACACAAGCATCAATTTCCCAGCACCCACCTGGTGGCTCACCACCATGTGTGATTCCAGTCCCAGGGGATCAAATGTCCTCTTCTGGTCTCCACAGGAACCAGGCACATATGCGGTTCACAGACATATGCAGGCAAAACACTCACACATGTGAAAATTACTTTTTTTTTTTCAAGAGTGAGACAGGGTCTCACTAAGTTGCTCAGCTTGGCCTTGAATTTCTGATTCCTCTGCTTAAGTTCCCAAGTAGCTGGGCTGCCAGGCCTGCACCACCATGTCTGCCTGCCAGGCCTGCACCACCATGTCTGCCTGCCAGGCCTGCACCACCATGTCGGCCTGCTTGGCTTTCTCTCTCTCTCTCTTTCTCTCTCTCTCTCTCTCTTTCTTCTTTCCTCCCTCCCTCGTTCCCTCCCTCCCTCCCTCCCTTTCTTCCTTCCTACCTTCTTTCCTTCCTTCCTTCCTTCCTTTCTTCCTTCCTTCCTTCATTCCTTCCTGTTAATGGAAACTTACTCACAACGGTTCTTAGCAAAATACTTCTGAAGAGGCGAATGGACACCAAGCATCCATGGAGCAGCAGACTGGCCACTGTCCATCCCAGAAAAAAAGCCCAGGTAAGCTGCAGGAGACACACTTCTAAGTCTGCCCACACCCTGCAGACCAATGTGGGTGTGCTGGGGTGTGTGTACTGTGATCCTGGCGAGCCTGAGCAAGTCTGGGTCTCACATTACCTTCTCGAAGGTTCTAACTGTAGGTGTCACACACTCTTGGGCACAACGTAGCAAAGTATAAAAGCCTGTGAAGGAGAATCTGAGCTAGGAGCGTCGGGCACCATAAATGTTTTACCGTACATCTTTCTGGTCGTTTACACTCATTCAGACATTTGGGCTTTGACAAAACTAGAAACATATAAAAATATATTCTCATATTCCCCTAACGTTTTATTGTTAGTAGTTACAGTTTGGCTGTAAAAGGCTCCCTACTGGCTTATGTGTTTGAACACTTGGTCCTTGGCTGATGATGCTGGGACTTGGGGGTGGGAACTGTGGTGCCTTCAGGACTGTAGCCTGGCCAGAAGTGGGTCACCAGGGATGGGCTTTGAAGGCCAAATATGATTCATGCCTGACCTTGAACTCTCTGCTTCCCCCAAGATCTGAGCAGCCACCTCGTACACCCCCAACCGTAGGTGGAACCGTGCCAGCCACCATGGTGGACTGCACCCTCAAGCTACAGACGAAAGAAACCTCTCGCCTAAGTTGCCACTGTCAAGGCTTTGGTCAGAGAAGATAATAGCAGCCAGTACCACAGTTGCTCATAATGATAAGATATTTTCAAAGTTTTAGTAACAGTATGATATTCCAAATCACGGACTCCGTAGAATGACTCCTGTGTGACTGAATTCCAGTTGCTTCTAATGTTTAATATGCCCAACTCAGGGATGGGTTCTCATTCCATCAATGGTACCCCAGGTAGACAGAGCAGAAGTTTTGCAAAGAAACATTGTACCCCAACCAATACCACAGTGCAGGACATTGGCCGTGAAGACAGGAGACCACATGTAGAGTAGCTCACCCTCCCCACTGAGGAGACGTCAACATTATAGGCTTGGGCGAAACTAGAAATATAAAAATATACTCTCATAGATGACACGCCAGGAGCTCTCTGCTGATCTGGCCTCTCCCTGTTGTGCCCCAGGCCTTCCCTGAGTTCAGCTCTTCTTCCTGTCACCCCAGGAATAAGAACCACACCTGAGGCTGGGGCAGTCCTACCCAGGGTCCTGGCCACTGATCTGGTGACTTATCTCCAGAATGAACACTGCTGATTCAGCTCAACAAAGCCACAGCATGAACCTGTTCTCCTGGTCCCCCAGCCACAAATGTGCCCCATGTGGTCCAAACAGCCTGCTTGTTGGGTGTTAGGTACCTAAAAGTGAGAACTGTTCATCCCAGCCTTGGCAATGTCCACACACACCACCCAGGCAGAGCACTGCTCCACAGACCTCGGGAGACAAATGGCGTCTTATGCCTGTGATTGTCCAGGGGATTCCTGTGGTCTCAATCCCAAAAGGGTGCCAGCAGGTAAGGCCATGTTCAACCCTCTGTGCTACTTTGAGGCTGGAGGCCCTGTAGCCCTTGGCAAGGTCAGCCACAGGTAGACACCAGAGACATGGTCATACCTCAGCAGAGACAAAACCAACGTGGTTTGTGATGACATGTATGCTCATAAAGCAGAGGAGTGGGCTCAGCCAACAGTAGTCAGGACTGGACTCGGGCAGTGGGGGGTCAGGCCCTCTGATCAATGGGAAGAGTGTCTTTGTCCATCATTTCAAGACTTCTCTATACCTGCGAGTCTTGAAATGAGCTGCTGGTTATTTAAATGACCCGGAGGTGAGTCTCGGTGATCTGAGGGCACCTCTGACACTAGGAATGGGAGAATGAGGACAGCATGGGGAGCTGGGTGTGTGTGGCAAGAGGTGGGATACTGGAAGAGAGAGAAGGAAGCGTGAAGTGATAAGGAAAGGGGAGGAAGGGGAAGAAGAAAAGGAAAAATGGGCTGGTGTTGCAGAACATTCCTTTACACTCTGTGAAGATGTGTCACTGTGATTGGTTTAATAAAGCACTGAACAGTCATTAGCTAGGCAGGAAGAGGTTAGGCAAGACTTCTAGGGACAGAGACGACACTGGGAAGAAGAAATTTTAAAAGAATTGAAGGAATATCAGCGTGTGACATGGAGAATTCAAAACAAAGCAAAACAGAGAATTTAATCAAAGCTACAGGCAAGTGTCTGCATCAACACCTGCCTTCTCCATCTCCACACCCTGATGCCCTGGCAGCTCAGGGAGTTGTTCCCACACAAGAGACAAGGCTGGCCCATAGCTCCAGAGTTCTCCCACAGCCAGTGATTAAAGACAGGAAGGAATGCTACACTTCCTCAAGTCACATGCTCACTCCTACACCAATCACTGAATCTCAGAGTAATGGGAAACTCTAATTGGCTAGTTTGGAACATGTGGATAACTGTCAATTGGAGACCCATAAAGAAGACCCTACACAGATCTGCCAGCAGTGTTGGGCAAGCAGAAAAGACAGAATAGGAAGAGGAGGAAGTATAGATAGATAGATAGGTAGATAGATAGATAGATATAGATATAGATATATGGATATGGATATATAGATATGATTTGTATGTGTGTGTACTATTTATTAGAGAATAAATTTTATATATTATTTCTGTTTCTCTAGAGAACGCTGACTATTACAGTATATAACACTTAAAGAGCCATTAGGATGAGTGTAAGGTGCTGGAGAGACAGCTCAGTGGTTAAGGACACTTGCTACTCTTGCAGAGGACTCAAGTTCAGTTCCCAACGCTCATGTTGGGCAGCTCACAGCAATCTGTAACTCCAGAGTCAGGAGGTATGACTCCCTCTTCTGGTCTGTGTTGGCACTGCACTCACAAGTGCATATACACACATAGATAGATACGCATGGAC